TTTTTTTTTTTTTTTTTTTTTTTTTTGATTCTTTCTTTTCAACCAATTCTCATTCTCAATTAGTGAAAAACACGGGAGAAAGTGTTGGTGAAAACGATATGGTTTATGTGTGTGTGCGTTTATATGTTTGTCAGCAGTATCAGTGTGTTGGCAATAGAGCTCAGTTAAGTTGTATTGTCCTGAAACAAACTAAATGTAAAAAATTACAAACTAAGGGATTGATAGATTTATAATCTATTATATACCCCGTATATATTTGTTGTTCTTTTTTAAAGAATTAAACTTTTTAACAGAAATTTTTCAACAGCAATGGGCATAAATTAATAAATTAAAGAGAAATTTTTAAAATTTAACAAATTAATCGGCACTTTGGATTTGTAGTATTAAAGGTGAAAATAGTACCTCTTTGTAGTCTTTATTAACTAATTTTTTTTTTTTGTTTATTTTTTGTACTTTTTTTTCTTTTTCCTTTTTGTTAACATTGCTGATAAAAGTAATGACTGAATAGATTAATATTTTGAAGATTTTTTTGCTGCAAATTTTTTTTTTTTTTTTGATTAGTTGTAATCTGTACTGTATTATATGCGAATAAACTGTAGTCAGCATAAAACTGTACAGCAACTATTGCAGATAATCCTTTTTTTTTCTCCTCTACATAAAACCACTAGAAGAAGGATGTTTGTCTAACTAAACAATTAGCAGCTAGGCAGATAATCAAATTGTTTATTTGAAAGTTAAGATTCTGCAGATGTTATTCTTCTTTCTTTTTGATTTTCTTTTTTTTTTTCTGCAGAACTATAGCTATTCTGCAGTTTTACTTCATCTTTAATAACCTTCCGAGAAACAACAGTTATATGTCTGTGTTTTTGCCTATGTGTGAATATATGTTTTTGTTATTATGTGTTTGTGTGTGTATATTTGTTGGCTTAAATCTGACAGCAATAATGGTTATACATTATTTAAAGTCTGTGTATTTTTTAATAGAAATCGTACATGACCAATGGCTTTTGTTTTTTTTCTCATTCTTTTTATAGTGTTTTAGCAACAGATTACTACAACACTAAATATCACTTTTTTTGAAAAAAAAATCTTTGATAGCCAGTTATTGACAAAACGTTGTTATAGAAGACAGTTTAAACATCAGTCTTCCAGATGATCAGTGTCGTTTTCTTGGTCATTATTGTTGTCGTTATAGTTATAGTTTTTACGTTTACTCAAAAATCTTCAGTATTTTTTTAACGACCATTTGTGGCTATTTTGGTGTTATTCGTATAAATACATCGTTATAGTTAAGGTACTGAATATAATGGTTAAATGAAGTTTAGCAGTTTTTTTAGGTTATAGTTCTTTTGACTTATAAGACCTGTTAAAAACAAGTTTTTATTTTTCTTGGATCCGATAATCCAGCTAACATGCTGTTTAAGAAATTTTTCAACTGTTCTAGGAAATGACGAATAGATTTTGAATCTTTTAAATAGATTTGCATAAAATTCATAAATTTCTTTTTTTTTGTTCACAGTGAACACTGATGACACCATATTTTGAGTGCTTTTTTAAGTTTGAAATATTAGGTAATTAATTATCAAATTTTAGATAGACAGGTAAAAGCTAAAAATAAATGACTGTTGTTTGTCCATAATAAGTTAAAATAATGGCTTCAAGAACTGTGTGCTAGTGAATAACGAGAGAGCATTACCGAAATTGATTCTGAATGCCATATGTTTTACTACAGTTTCAGAGATGTAAGCGTCGCTTTTTTTAAAGCCACCCATTAACGGCTTTTTTATTTCTTCTTTTTTTTCTCTCAACTTTTTTATTTGGATGAAAAAAAAACCTTTTGTTTTAGACAACATTATCTTTCGCATTCATTGTTATAGACCATAAGGTGTAAATAATAGCACGTAACAGTCGGCACAGTTAAATTATTAATGACCGATTCAATTTTTTCAACAACTAGTTTTTTACCAATTGGTCCAGTGTATTTTGAATTGAAAAAAAAAAACAACGGCTAACTTGTGATCATTGTTGCTGTGCTCCAAAACGTCAAAGTAAATTCGAAAAATAACGATAAGTCGGAGCTGTATGAACAGTTAAATAGCACAGGTATCCATCCATTGCTTCTCACAGCACTATGTTGTTCTCACGTCTATCTGCTGTGGTTGTTTTGTTGCTGGCTGGCTTCGTCTACTGTACAAACGATACATTGGTTCGTGAGCTCCAGAAACGATCATATGAAGGTGGTTTATTTTGACTGCTACATACTGCAAATTGATCTCTTCAGTATTGAAAAGGCGCTTTCCAAACTCAAGAAGCATTACGATTAGACAGTAACTATAAATTAATATCAGCTTGTGCCATTTAGGACACATTAGAAAGGCTTTTGAAAATGACGCTTTTTTTGCTTTTATATTGTAATTTAGTAAGTTAACAGGTTACATATTGTGGCTAATTGTAACGTGAAGTTTGTAACAGTATAATCTGACTTCAACTGCCGCTTCTTTGGCACATACTTCACATTTAAAATTTGAGGGATTCATCGTGGTTCAGAAATCTTAATTGATACTTGCATAAATCAACCATGATGCAGGTTCCTTGCTGCTACTAAAGACGATTCTTTTACAATACTTTAAATTTCAAGTACTGCAAAAACTACCTGGCACTATCTTTATATTATTTATTTAAAGCATTCCATCGACAACCTTTATCGGAAAACATTGAACTTGCTGAAGCGCTATTCAACGGCATTATTGGAATGACAGCAGAATCGGTTATGGAACTTGTCGGGTAATTAAGTTTCAGCCAACCATACCTTAATCTAGTCATAATGTTACCTGTCTCCTCCTAAAGTGCGCTGTAGTCTTTTAACATGGCTGTTTATCTTTGGTTAAAATGTGTAACCTTTTTTATTAATAAAAGTTGAATTTAGTTTCAGACGACTTAAAAATTTTATCCCTCATGTCTCCCTTGGGGGATGCCAATGGTTCGGCACCGCACCTTTTTGTATGGAATTGTGCCCAGCTGACTACGACCAAATCAGGTTTGACGTTAATTCTTACTTTGAAGCCTCTCAACGAAACTCTCCACTTCCAAAGATAAATAGCATACTTTTAAGAAATTTTAACTTCATTCAATTCCTCAAAACAAAGATTATGAAGGTTAACTATTAAACGGTCATGACAACAGATAACTTTGTTTGAGTAATGCGATTTTAGGGAGGAAAGCGGACGATGTAAGGTAGTCAGTGCAGACAAAAATTCGACAGAAGAACAGGAATGCATACCAGATCCAAGCTTTGGCGAACCATGCACTAGCTTCCTCGGGTTTCAGTTCAAAAAGAAATTTTGCTGCAAGTTTGTTTCTCAGTTTTTATGCATTATAACTTCTCGATCTTCAGATAATACTGGTGACCTTCTAAAAACCAGTACCAATCAGCCACAAAATATAATTCAATTACTAGCCACCTATCATTTTATATTTTATATAGGAGCGACCCTAAGGACTGCACATGGAGTGGACGTTGGATGGGAGCAATGGACTCATTCAATATTTACTGTCGTTACGACTCTACAGTGGGACGTTGCGGCAAACTGGATTGTTCTGTAAATCATCGACAGTTTCAGGGTCATAACAGTTCACTGATAAGTAAGTAATTCACTTGTCTTGCTCCGATGGGAGAGGATATAAGAGCCCAACACACGGGCTAAAAAACGAATGCTTTATAACAAATAAATGAAAAAACAAGGAAAATGCTTTCAAAGCATTTAACTAAACTGGCACTAGCTCAGCCACAACTTGAACAAGTGAGACAGAAAAAAAAACCAGTATATCCTTACCATAATTTGAAATGTACAAAAAGGAAATTTTGGAAAGCACTGAATGCCGCAAACACGTTCGCTACCAACATCTGACATCTTTTGCGCTCATTTTAGCTGGCAAGCACTGTGATGAACTAAATATGTGGCTAATGAAAGGAAAGGCAACATGCGGCTACATAGCTTGGTACGACTCGGAAGGACGATTATCAAACAGCTGGTACAAGACACACTGAAAGGCAATATTCATTAATACTGGTAACCGTATTGCTGGTACAACTGCTATTACTTAAACAATCAAACATGTCTTTCTCATTTCAGCCACTTTTTACTTCTAAACAGATTTTTTTTGTGACCATATGAAAATTTTGCTGTTATGGAGAGTCACAGAAAACATCTGTAATATTTACATTGTTAGGTGTCTTTATCAGTTTCACTCGTCAAACCGCCAATGCACCTCACCTCTGTAGACTTCAGTTCTCTAACAGGCAAAACTTTTAATATAAATGAACATTCCTTCCTGGCTTTAACTTTCCCAATGATCACCTCGGTAGCTCTTTAACGCCCGGATGCGTTGGGAAAATCTCACAACAATGAACACCGCTCAAAAGCTCATTTTAAAAAAGGAAGGAGCCAGAAGCTTCCATCTCTTTTGTTTACTTGTTTGTTTGTCCGCTTTAATAATTTCCTAAACTGTGTATTTGTTTACGAACTCCACTTGTCTACTTAACAGGATGCTGATGTTTCTAGAAATCAGTCTCAAATAGCCAGCTTTTATTTCCAAAAACTAAATTGTTCCACCCAATCCGCGTTTGTTGCTTGTTGGAATTCCTCATAATAACTGGGACGAATAAAAGCTTTTTTGGACCCAGTACTTACTTAGTACAAAGATATCAAGTGCCATCTTCAAAATCTTCGGTGGCTATCCAGTTCTAAGCCATCTAGTTTTGTCAACAAAAATTACAATCATAGTCGCACTTCCAATAACCGCAGTATTGGAGGTGGCAGACGCACCAACTAGATCAACCTAGAAAGAACGCCAAACGAGAAACCGTTCCAAACAGCTAGCCAAAAAAAGCAGATGAGCCTATGCAGTTCAACTGCAAAGTCTATCTGACATAATGCTGAAATACTCGTTACACGTATTTATATACGTACATGCGTGGAAAGGTTTTTGAACGTTTACTACTTTTTGTGCTTTTTTGTTGTTGGCTATGCCGTTCTTTTTGCAGCCTAATAATTATAGTGTTTTAACATGTTTTTATAGAACTTGTCCCACTCTTGCTTTCTTATAATAGCCCACTTTATTACGTTCATCTTTTTGGGGACTGTTTTTTACTCTACCCCTCACCACCCCACTCCAGCTGCAGGGCCTGTAAGCAAGTCTATATCAGAGTCCGTCTGTCGCGACAACGAGTTATGAGGTTAAGCAAAATTATCTCTTTTTCTTATCTTTGGGTCAAAAATTAATCACGCTTGATGCTCAATATCGCTTGTACCGAGAAGGCCTGTTTTTTATTCTCTTCACTAATGTTGATTTACAAAGCATTTCCTCAAAAAGGAATCGTTTTTGATCATCTTGAACGGCGCAATTTTTTGTATATTATTGTTATGACGCCGATCAGTATTCTATCATTTTTCTGCTTGTTTGTTCCTGCAGTCAGTTGAATAAACTGGTTAGCTACGGCTTGTTGGTTGTGACCTTCCACTGGTGGTTATTATTCTCCAATACTATTCTAAAGGAAAAATTGTATTTAAATATATTTTTTCCTGCACCATCTAAAGATTCATCTGCCATCTGCAAGTGCATTCCATGAAAGGAAGAATTTGTGCTAAGAGAGCAGGCGCAGAACGCTTCATCTGTCAGATAGATCCGCTTGAAAAAAGCTCTGGCTGTGTCAATTGACAAGGTAAGCACGTGAGCTTCCGCTAGGGGTGTGAATAAATGTGTTGATTTTGTAAAGTGCATAGTCAGATAGAAGCCTCATAAAGCACGAAGTCTGCTGCCAGCTGAACTCTACAAAAATTTTACAGTCGCTCTTCTTGGTCAAATTGTCTCATCGTTAGCTAGTGAGTCATGTCGATTTTTTCTAATTCATTCTTGACTGTTTCGCTTATTTCCGATGAAAACTAATTTTGTACTATCACTTCCGCTTTACTGTCGCCAGCGAGCCCGTTTTGTCCGACTGAAATTTACATC